ACTACTCTCTTACCAACGAATAGTGGGATTGACCGTCACATTATAACGCCACCACGGCTGAAAAGGCGAGCATGTTTAGTGGGATGGGGATTCGAACCCGTGATCGTCAGATAGCGAGTCGAGCGCCTTAACACTGATGAGGGTTAATCAACATTCGATTTATCACAATTTAAAACTCTTCTGTACATAACATCACCAAGTTTCCAGTGTAATATTACACAGAATAGAATATGTACCGAAGACTATAAAAGATGGAAAAAAAAGGCCCAGTTTCGAATACGTGAAGTGTTACCATAGTAACACAAAATACTATAGCTACTACTCGATTCTTACATCTGTAACTCAAACGTTATTTATTTTACACGCGTTTATTAAAATAAATTAAACATCTTACATATATTAAAAGAGCTACACGGTCCAATATAGACAAAAGAAACATTTTTTTTTTATGAAAACGTTAAAAGCAACATTGAAAGGAAGTGGAAAATATCAACTCTTGTCTACTGCACAAGTGCCTTGACCAACTACGTTTAAGTTCTCACTTAATTCAGCAAATCATAAACTTTCGGATTCACAAACCGATTGTTTTATCTGAAAAAAAAAGAGCGCGATCCTTTCTTCACTAAAATTGAAGTTAAAAATTCTGATTTGCAGAGATTCCAGTATTCAGTCGATAGTTACGTAAAACGCCGTGTGTGTGTGTGGGTTCGATTCCTCAGTTTTACTATTGCCACTTTAGAACAGATACAACAAAAATCTTGCCAGTAAGCCTAAAAGGTGTCCAATATGCATTTGTTAAATTGACGATAATCTTTTAAAACTTGTGAATCACAAAACAAATAATATTTATTATAGGAGCAACCAAGAATGTCAATTAAACTACGTAACTGTTACACTGCTATTTATATACAACGGATAATAATACATTTTATATAACGTTTTTGTTGTTCTTTTATTTCAGGTGAAAACTGGTAAGAAACCCTCAAAATACACGTTTGTCAACAACAAAAAGTTATGAATTAGAATAACTGTGGGCCCACAAAAAAACACTTAAACGAAGCATTCTTTTTTAGGTAAATTAACTTTTTTTTTCTCTTCCTCATATAAAATAAACCTAAGAGATTCACGAATACTTTATGTATTAATACTTCATTTATTATTAACAGTAAACAGCGGGTTAGTAAATTATAATTCTTACAAGAAATGAGAAACGTTTTTATTTAATAAAATGGTACACACACACAGCATGAAACAACAATAAATCTGGGTATTAATACCAGGAATAAACGACCTTATAACACCAAAATGTTGTTTTTATTTAATTAGACACTCAACGTTTCGCTTTACAGCTTCTTCAGGAGCGTTCACTAAAACACAAACCAAAACTAACGGTACAAATCTTTAAAAAAATGAGAAAAATAAAACTATACAGATGTATAATGTTATGAGATTTAAGCTTCTTATTTGTTAACTTTTATGAGAAAGTTAGGATTTCTGTCTTATTTATCATAGCATTCACAACTCAGCCCGTTCTGTATATTTTGTCGAATTTCGTCACGTTCTACTAGTGTGTAGGTGGGTGTCTATATTATTAAGAATTAAAACTTAATAAGTCATTTCATTTGTTGAATATTCGTTCAAAGCTACTCGAGAGTTATCTGCGCTAGCCGCCCCTAATTTTGAAGTGATAGACTAGAAGGAAGGCATTTAGTCATCACTTCACTAACGAATAGTGGGATTGATTTTAAAATTATAACGCCCCCATGGCAGAAAGGGCGAGCAAGTCAGGCGACAGGTTTCGATTCCGCGATCCACAGATTGTGAGTTGACACCCTAACCACGAGTCTATGCCTGGCTCTAGCCATTTTGTATCCTAGACGGCATATACAATTAAAAAGTTTTGAGAAACTTGAGTTGACTAAACCATCCTTATATTTTCTTTATATTCAAATGACCCGTTTTTGTGGTTATAATTATAAAAAGTCCTAGAATTGAAATATTCAGATAACCCTTGAAATAATGTGATTTAATACAGCTAATCGATCTAGTATAGATTTTTTTTGATAGGTATCGAAGCAGAAGAGGCTAAGGAACTAATGAGAATAAACACAACTATGTTTCGTGCTAAATCGTATACTTAAGCATCTTTTTCGACTGTTGGACAAACAATCTCATCCCTTTTAGAATTTTATTTTTATTATTTATAAACGGGAGATTAGTAAAATTTATCTATAGCCATAAAAGTCCTGTTAGGCTATAAACAACATATCAAAATATAATGAATAATTCATAATCTTTATATCAACAAGTCTTGATTTATAGTTTCTGTTAGATGCTAGCATTATATATATATATATATATATATATTAAATAGTTAGTCTACACAACACAATGGGATGTGATGGGGCAAGGACCGAAGTTTTAAACTACTTCAAAAAAGCTTGGCTTTGACATTATGTTGCACACAACTATAGGATGTTCGTTAAACGTTCACTAAGCAGAACTACACTTCACAATCAAATCCATGACGATTACGATAAAATTACCTGTTTTCATATTTGAAAACCTTGATTAAAAACAGTAGCGTGTTAAAAATGCAGGGGATTTTAAAAATATTACATCTACTTTAATGAGGTTTTGTTTTAGACAAAAAGTATAAACTCATTTTATCATATGAACTTGATTAAATATTAGTCTCAATAGATAGATTAATTGACTATGTTCTTTCGTTTTTAGCTATAGAAACGGAGTCATCACCAAAGCTAATATAAGAAGGCTAGTTTCTTTTCTGGATAGGTGTCTACGGTCAACAGACATAAAGCAATCAATCACACACCCCCGCCCCCCATAGTATGGAAGATTAAAATGAAAAAAGAACAAATTTCGAAAATGAGTTAACTTTCTAGAATATTTCATAGAAACTATATTTCTTTCTTTCTCTTTAATAGCATCAACGGTTAGGGTTAATAATGATTTTGATAATGTAAATCAACAATATACGTGAAAACCACATCCGATATAAAGTTGCAGTGGAACGGTATGTATCAAAACTATATTTTGACATTGTTTTGTGGTATTAAAATTGACCACTTTTAGGAAGGACGTGTAACAGCTCTTTCCGACGCAAAATATTTACACACTCAGGTGAAAAAGGCGTGTTAAATCGGGGATTTGGAATTCCAAAACTGGGGCATACTTTGTACTCAATGGCATTGAAAAAAAAAGGAATCTGGATCAACATCGAACACCATGACCAAGTTGTACTCCAGTCGTGGTAAACAAAATATGACGTCTTGTAACAGGTGAGGATCCAAGAATACGAAGGTCATTGGCCAAAGCCGTCCACGTGTCCCAGGCATACCTCAAACGTACAACAGCTATTCATCCAAACCGTAAAAGTTGTTCATGCAATTAATAATATAAATAGCGGCCTGATAAGCCCTGCTATTGGGCGAAGCCTCAACATGATAAGTATAACATTCTTCTTTGCTTTCACTCATAAGTTATTAGAATTCCATATGCCAGACAGAGCATAACCAGACTGGAGACATGGTAAAGCTTGAAAATTCTTCTGATACAACTAACCCAATCTCTGTATAATTGAAAAAGGGTTAAATAAAAGTCTTCTTATTTTTCAAATAAATAGTTATGTAATTTCGTAGTAATTCATTTTTGAACGGTAGTTAACTCTGTAATGTAACAAATAAATTGTTATCATTCATTGAAACCCACAAACATCAACAGATTTAAAACTTATTTTCAAAGCACTCTGTCACTTCTCTTCAAGTTGTGTGTTTGGGAGAACAATGACTGTTACTTAACAACCAAGACTGTGATCTAATAAACAGAACTGACAGTATTTAGCGGTATGTCTAAAAGCCAGTCAGTCAATGTTATGTTCGACCGCTTTCTATTCACAAGCCTGATGAAAGCGTCACGTGTATTAACCACTGTCTAACCCTGGCCAATTTCCCACTGCCAATCGCAATGATGGTTCGGCTAGCTACTTTGCTGACCATTCAACAGTAAAGTTTATTTGTCAAAGGTACAGCAAAGCGCAGGGCTAGGCTGCCTTTGTTGATAACTGTTACTCACACAAAAAGTTAATCGAATTCACAGAGCCCAGATATTTTCTAAAAAATCAATAACGAACTCAAACATATTCTTATGAATTAGTTCTGAAAACAGTCTTACAGTCGCAGTAACTTTCCAGAATTTAATGTTCATTACTAAGTTAACAATACGTTTAGTGAAAAATAAGACCAATCTCTATAAAAAAAGATATTTTAACAAAGCTTAACCATCAGTCAAGGTTTGGGAAACTCAGATACGCGAAATTCGTATTTCACGTATTCACTCTTTAATCTGCCCCTCAGTGGCACAG